GGGGGGGGAGGGGAGGGGGGCTGTTTCTCATATGGCGGATGGATGGATGGGTGGATGGATGGGATGGACCAAGAGGCAGGCAGACAGACAGGCAGGTGGCCAGACGGGCAGCTCTCTCCCTCTCTCCATCTGGTGTATTGCATCGTGTGTGGGGTCGTTGCGTTTTACCCCCTCTCCCTCTCTCTTTCAATGACGGTCTGTGTCGCCTTGCTGTGTTTTGTTTGCTGACCGTCCATTGTATGTTCGAGTTCCGAGCTACTGGCTAGCCCAGCTTGTGCAGTGCCTGGATGCCTCCGGGGGGAGGGAGGGAGGGGCAGCAACAGACACACAGGAGAGTGGGTGGATGAGCAACGGCGCTATCTATCTGTGTGAGTTGTTGATGAGCATGGTGTTCCTCTGTTCCCTCTATAACATGTGGCCCGGGAACGTACGACGGCCGGCTCGTGAAAGGGTTTGGCTGTCGATCGTTCGTGGTGGCTGTGCGCATGGAGGGACAGAGGCCGGTGCGACCGACCGACCAAAAGAGAGGAAGGAAAGAAATACAAGACGCCTGCGTGTCTGTCTGCCTCCAATATGGTTGTCGTTGTCTGATGGCGTGATTACGGAGCTGTCCTGGTCGTCAACTCCGCTGCCCAGATCGACGGGCAGCGGGGTCGACGTGCGGTGGGGCGTCACACTCACGCCAGCACAGGCACACAATCGCGGAACTGACAAGTCAGTCAGAGCACTTCACGGATTCACTGCGTGTCGTCCTCGTCTGGTGGCCTACCCTCTCCCCGACTGTGATGGATGGATGGATGTGCCCCCTCTTTCACCTGCCTCCCCTGTCTGTTGGTCTGTCTCATCCCATTCTCTTTGTCTTCCCCTCTGCTGTCTGTCTGTCTGTCTGGTGGGCTGGTCCTCGGGCGTTGGTTGCTCACTCGTGGTGGTGTGGTTGGTCCGTCCCTCTGTGCAGAAAATGGGACGGGATAAATTAGATAGATCTGACGAACGGCTGGGAGGGACGGGGGGAGGATAGGATGGGTCACGAGGGGGTGGCGGTACTGACGTGTTGACCTATCTATCTCTATTCTCCTGATGGATGGATGGATGGACGGATGGGCAGTTTCTGGCTGTCCTGCCTGTCATTGTGCCGTCCTGTCTCCTTCCCTGATTGCCCCCGAGCCTGCCTCGTTCACTCACTCTCTCTGCAATTTTGTGTCTCTGTTGCACGCGTGTGTGTGTGGGTGGGTGAGAGAATGATTGCCCGATTGGTCGACTCGAAGATTGTTCATGATGCTCTGTGTGTGTGGTGTGTGTGACAGTATTATCCCCCTACGTGAGTATCCATGTGAAATGCCCGTGTGCTATCTTTCTCATACCAGCGGCCAGCCAAATCGCACACGGAACATTCTTCAAGTCCCTGTCGAATGCAATGCAGTCCCTCAGATGATGCATCGTTGAAAAACGCCACGATCAGCTAGCTGTCCATCCAGATCACGAAGGTGCGATTCAACTCAGCATGTAGCAAGGGGAGGAGGGAGGGACGGAGTGAAAGGGTAAGAGCCACGCCACGCCGCTCCCGCCCCGCCCCCCCCACTCAGCAAGCCATAGGTAGAACCTACCTAGCATGCATAAAACACGGCTGCCTGCCAGCCATCGATCGGTGCGCGCACCCACCCACCCACACGTGCACGTGCACGTGTCCGTCGCGTCACATCCATCCCCAATCAATGCACAGCAAGACAGACAGACACAGATGGGGGAGCCGAGAGAGGGAAAGGGGAGAGCGGGGGAGGGAGGGAGGGAGGGAGGGAGAGGTCGTTCAGGACTCTTTCTTGCCGTTGGGTTTGGTCTTGCTGCTGTGGTTGCCTCCGCCGCCTGACTTGGGAGCCGCCTTTGCGGATGATGACTTGCTTGACGCCTGGCACTTGGCCTCCTCCTACAGTGGACACACAACCACAGCCATCACCGCAGCGATCAATAAATGGCTGTGTGGCGTGGATTGGGTTTATGTGGTGGCTGGGTGCGCACCCACTGCTGGGTGGCTTACCTCAGCCTTGATGAGCGCTGCGGCTTTCTTCTCGGCGAGCCGCTGCTCCTTCTCAAGCTTCTGTTGCTTGATCTTCTCCTCATGCTTACAACACAACACACACACAAACGTCCGTCCACCCATCGCATCTCATCGGGTCAGTCATGTGTGGCCCTCGGTGTGCTGGACGTACCTCTTTTTGTTTCTTGAGTTTCTCAGCCTCCTTTTCCTTTTGTTTCTGGCGCTTCTCCACCTCCTTCTGCTGCGCCTCGCGCAGCAGATTGGCGCGCCACAACTGATACGCCTGCGGAAAGATTCGCTGACCTGCAGGGACACAGGCCACACACAGAGGAACAGACAAAGGTATCCGGGTGGCTCGCTCTCTCTCCGTGTGTGTGTGTGTGTGTGTGTGACGTACCCCATCCGTCTTCGAGGCACTCGGCCTCCTTCTGGATGAAATTGATCTCGTCCACCAAATCTTTGTAGGCCTGAACAGCACACACACAGGAGAAGCGATGCATTCATGGCAATCCGTCCATCCCATCCCATCGATGCATCCATATCTTGGCACTAATAAATAAATTGCATGGCGCGTAGCGTAGCGTACCGCCCGAATGAGTTGCCAGTGGTGTTCCGAGATGAGTCGTCTTCTGTAGAGCGCCTCCTTGCCTGGGTAGTCCTTCTGTATCTCCTGGTACCTCGGCAGGTTGGCTATCGCGCGCTTCATCAGACCCGTGCGCATCAGACGCTTCTCCTCGGGAGATAACTGCCTGCACACCACACCAACGACAGACAGACACATAAACCCAAGCCAGCCGTCACAATCCTTTTCGACGTGTCTGTGTGTCTTGTCTGTCTGTCTGTCTGTCTGTGCGGCTGACTCACCTGAGCCAGCTGGTTGTGAACTCGTCGGGTTCGTCTGTGTCTGAGAGCGTTTCGTCCTCCTCGCCGAACTCATTGATGGGCACCTCAGTGTACTCAGGGTTTTCCCTCTGAAACTTGCGCATGGCGTCTGTACGGATCTTGTCATAGTAGCGGATCTCGTTGCGCGGCACGGGGTAGCCCAGCCGCAGCTCAGCCTCCTGGAAGAAGCCCGTGGAGCTCTTCTGGCTCTTCCACTCCGACCACAGCATGTAACCCGCCGCACCGCCCAGTATCACCAGACACACCACCACTATCAGCACGTCGATCACGAGGTCGAACATGACAGGCAGGCCACCTCAGCTCAGCTCAGCTCAGCTCGGCAGGGGCACGGCAAAGCGGCTTGAGCATCAGCATCTCAGCATCAGCAGAAACAGAACGAGTTCTCCCATGCGGTTTGGGGACTGGAAATCGACAGGCAGCCGGGCCACAGAGAGGATTCCACTGCCTTTCGTGTACTCTCTGAGGATTGCAAGCTAAAGCTCGCGACAGAAGCGCTCACAGGCCAAATAGCCGTGAATGTGACGTTCTCTTCAGCAGCAGAAGGGCGAAAAAGGTAGCAGTGGCCGTTTGGCCCTCTGATCTTCTCTGATCTTCCGCGTGCGATTACAATGCTTGCTCTATCAAGGCGCGTCACTGCTCTGCGCAGTGTGCTCAATGCGGCGCCTACCACGGCCGCATCACTGCAGCCCCACCTGCAGCAGCATCCGCATCAGCAGCGGCCGGCCGACCATCAAGTGCGGCACTTTGCTGCGAGCGAGAAGGTCGTCAAGCAACGAATGAGATCTGTCAAGTCCATCCAGAAGGTATGCAAAGCGAAACAAAGCAAAACAAAGCGAAGCAGCGCGTGTTCCCACCTCTCTCTCTGACCTCTGCGTGGGTGCGGGCACCTCTCAGATAACCAAGGCAATGAAGATGGTTGCTGCGTCGAAGCTCAAGAACGACCAGAGGAGACTCGAGAACGGCATGCCCTTCGCACAGCCTGTCATGGTCAGTGCGGAGTGCGACACACAGCCATACACAGCTCACGTGTACCTTCTCTTTCTGTGCAGACTTTGCTAAAGAAGTTGCCGCAGGACAGCGCGGCGCTGAAGCCGACGGGCAAGGAGGACACTCTAATGGTCGCACTCTCATCAGGTCGACCAGCGTGATCCACGCACACGTCATCACAAGGACACCAAAACTCATGTGGGGTGGGATGGGTCGGTGAATGAATGTGCTGCAGACAAGGGTCTGTGCGGCGGTGTCAACTCATCCGTGGCCAAGCTCGCCAGAAACACAGTGAGTGAACCATACTTACACACACACACACACACACACTCTCTCTCTCTCTCTCTGCGTGCATATGCGTGTCTGTCTATCTGTCTGTCTGTCTTTGCTGTGTGTGTCAGACCCTCGAGAAGGAGGGAGAGGGCGGTGTGGTTCGCATATTCGGCGTGGGCGACAAGATACGAGCCGCACTCGAGCGGCTCTTCGCTGACCGGTAAGTCATTCGGTCAATCAATCGGTCATCAACGCATGACAGCAGCATTGCATACCCGTGCGCGTGTGTGTGTAGGTTTGCACGTATGGTGAGTGAGGTGACGCGAAACCCCTGGAACTTCACTATGGCCTGCATCATCGCCACTAGAGTGCTCAAGGTATGTTGCAAAACAGGCAGGCAGGCCAGCAGGTGTGTCTGACGCCGTGTGTGTGTGTGTGTGGTGTGCAGATGAACCCGACCAAGTGTCTGCTGCTGTTCAACCATTTCAAGTCGGTCATCAGCTACGAGACAACCGCCATGCCCCTGCTCACACCAGCCGACGCTGAGAAGGTCAGCCACACACCCTCACACGGAGACGCACACACGCACCCACGCGCAATGATCTCCAATGTGTGTCCTTTATCAGCTGGACAAGCGTGAGCTCGACACATACGAGTTTGAGCCGGAGACAAGGGAAATATGGCAGGTGAGTGACTGACACTGGTGGTAATGACTTGTCACTGACGTCATAATCACTTGTTTACGTGTGCCATAACGCTCTTCCTCTCCTCTCTGTCAGGACATCCATGAGTTTTACTTTGCGTGCACCCTCTACGGCTGCATGCTCGACAACATCGCATCCGAACAGGTAAGTAAACAGGGCAAGGGAAGGACGACTGCTGATCCATCCATCCATCCATGGGTTCCTGTGGCGCGTGTGTGTGTATCTGTAGTCTGCGCGCATGAGTGCGATGGACAACGCGTCCAAGAACGCCGGCGAGATGCTCGACAAACTCACACTCGCGTACAACAGAGCGAGACAGGTATCCCATACTCATACACGCCCACCCACCACACCCACACGGGTCTTCCTTTCCTGTGGCTCTCATCTCAGGCCAAGATCACGACCGAGCTGATTGAGATTATCTCTGGCGCAAGCGCACTGTGAATGAGTCAGCGAGTGCGGCCGTGGTGTTGCGTGCCAGCTGCCATTTTTGGCCCCTTGTTCGTTCTGCTGGCCGCACGGTGTCTTTTCCCTTATTGGTGTCGTTGAGCGTACGTGTGTGTGTGTGTGTTGTCTGTCGTGTGTGGGTGTTGTCGCCTCTCTCTTCGCAAGAGTGGCTTGACGACACACACCCACACACCCACCCCACCGACCCAACGTCGATATGCATACCTACCTACATGCGGACATCGCTATTGAGTGAATGCTGCTTTGAGGGCGTGAATGGTCTGCTCCCGTCCCGCGGTCTGTCTGTCTGTCTGTCATCGACACACGCGCATGGGCGACACCCACAGCCACACAGTCGTTCGTTTCCTTCTGTATTGATTGCTGTCTTTGTACGAACACGCTGACACTGTGGATGAACGGTCTACTGACTCAGGCATGCACACGCACCCACACACCCCAGACACTAATCGTCCATCCAGTCCATGCATCCATCCATCCATTCAAAAACAGCAGCCATCCAGCCACTCACTCAGCCACCGCGTAACTGCGCTCTCCTGCATGCCATCCGTTCAGTTTGTTCACTCACGCGCTGGCAATCTGGTCGACCCCCGTTGCGGCCACGGGGACGAATCCGTCCTCATCCACCCCCTCATCCTCCTGTTCCTGCTGCTGTGGCCCGTCCTTCATCTCAACCACTGTCATTTCCTCACCCAGCTGCTGGGGCGAGCAGCACGTGACGCAGAAGACGTTCTTGGGCGGCCGATTGGCTCGGGTTGTGTTGCCACCAGTGGGGGTGGTGAAGGTGAGTGCGCGTGTGAGCATGGTCCAGAGGATGGATGTGGAGCGGGTGGTGTCGCGCGAGGCCGTCGCCGGCTGACGCACCACCACGCCTTTGTTCTTCTCCAAAGCCTCGTCAACGTCCTCTACCTGAAACCACATCGAGACGCAGAAATACACACAGGGAAGGACGCAAGGCGGTGTCTCGTGTCACATGCCCACGTACCTGCTCGAATGTGGCCTGAATCACCTCCTTCATGCCCGCGTCCTCAGCCGTCAACTCCCCCCTGATCGCATACACGGACCAGCAATGGACAGATCAGCAACCGACAAATCGAGAATGTCACCTGTCGATGCGCTCAGCGATGCTGGCCATCTTGGGCCCCTCCTTCCTCTCCCGCAGCTCCGTCTCCACCTCGTGTTTCTTCTGCCGGTAGATGTCCGAGTAGTCCTTTTGCACCAAAGCCTCGCTTGCCGTCAACACACCCTTGGCCATGGACCATCGGCCAAAGACGGGCGTCTCGTCGCCGGCCTTCTTCTTATCCTCGTCATCGACCTCGGGGCGCATGTGCAGCGGCAGCTCCATACGCAGGGGGTAGAACGACAGCCTGAAGGAAAGGATGCATCACCAGGCACCATGCCGTGCGGCTGGTCATTGCAGAATGGACTCTCAGCAAGAGGTCTGGTCTTACGGGTAGCTGACGCGCTCCCCATTCCTGGAGGGCTTCTGTATGAAACTCTCGGTCTCCTGCACGCCTGCCATCCTCCTCTGAACCAAAAACACCAACTGTCGCCAGGCCCCCAGGATCGCGAGACTGCGAGCTAAGCCTCAGTCTGCCTGCTCTTTTATCAGCACAAACGTCACCATCGAGGCCGTATCTTCGTGTTATTGTTGTCCGCTTATGGCAACGAATCGGCGCCGGCAATCCCGCAACAGAGCGGCCAGTGGCACTCAACGGAAGCAGTTTCAAGACACTCAATTGGAAGCCCACTGACGCATCCGGCATCATAACGAGTGTCCCTGAAGCCCTTAAAGTTTGAGTTCTCTTGGTGGTTCAATGTCGCAAGGCGACGCCGAGTCACTGCGAGAGCACGGGTAAGGACAGGGCAGACACGGGGGCCGCCATGGCCGGCTGCTGGGTTGCATGATGCGCACACTAGAGAGGCCGACATGCGGAGAAGGGCGGCACTGCATGGTGGAGTGGAGGGGGCTCAACTGCCCGTATCAGATGGCGAGGGAGGAAGAAGCTGGTGTCCTCCCTGTGTGTGCATTGTGTTGCAGTTACGTGGAGGTGAAGCTGATTGGGCGCGGCAACTACGGAACTGCGCATCTGGTCAAGACTATGGAATCTCTACCGGACGGATCGCCGGGCACCAGGAAGCCCAAACTCTACATAGCCAAGAAGGTACTTATGCACTCATGAGCGAGGCCCTGTGTATGTGTTGAAAGAGCCTCCGGCCGTATGCGCGTGTGTGTGTGTCCGTCATGCAGGTTCCTCTATCGTATCTGAGTGAGAAGGAACAGGAGTCGGCTATGAAGGAGGTGACTGAGGAGAGAGGACACTAGCGGATGGACGGGTCGGGTGGTTGCTGATGCGTCCGGCCATGCGTATGCGGTGTGTGTGTGTGCAGGTGGAGGTTCTGCGGCGTCTTGAGCATCCGAATGTGGTGGCGTACAAGGACTCCTTCATGCTCGAGGGACACGTGCTTGTCATTGTCATGCAGGTGAGTGACTCACAGCAACAGCATAGCGCATTTCTCACAGGTGGATGGCTGGATGTGTTCAGTACTGTGAGGGTGGCGACTTGGCGTGGCACATCAAGCAGCACCAGCGGGACAAGAAGCCCTTTCAGGAGATCGAAATCATGAACTGGTCAGTCAGACAGACAGACAGACAGACACACAGACAGACAGACCATTGTCTGTGTCTCTGTGACCTGACTGTGTGCAGGTTTGTGCAGATCTGCATGGCGCTGCAGCACATCCACCGGCAGAAGATACTGCACAGAGACCTCAAGAGCTCAGTACGCCCTCACCTCAGCAATCAATCCATTTGCTGCATGCCCATCTCCCTGTGTGTGCTGTGCTGTGCTGTGCTCTCTACCTTTTCAGAACATCTTCCTGACTCGCAACGCCCGCATCGTCAAGCTCGGTAGGCACAGCACACATACACACACCCACACACGTGCAAAGGAAGGATGCATTCGTTGTGTGTACAGGTGATTTCGGCATATCTCGCGTGTTGGACGGCACGCTGGAGCAGGCACTCACTGTGGTCGGCACACCGTACTACATGAGCCCTGAGGTGAGTCAGCCAGCGAGTGAGCGAAGGGATTGGACATCTCTCTCCCTCTCTCTCTGTGTGAGTAGGTGTGCGAGAACAAGCCCTACACCTTCAAATCTGACGTCTGGGCGCTGGGGTGCGTCCTCTACGAGCTCTGCGTGCTCAAGTGAGGCCAATAGCAGGGAGACACACGTACAGTACAATCCTTCACTGCTTCATTATTCCTTTTTTTTTCTCTCATGGATAAAGGCACGCCTTCTCTGCCAGCAACCTTCTTGGGCTGGTATACAAAATCGTGGCGGAGACGTACGACCCCATCCCAGACACGTACTCACCGGTCAGTGCGGCGTCATTGGCCCCCTCCCAGCATGCACAGGTCTTATTCGTTTCTTTCTGCAGGAGCTGAGCCGCCTCGTGAGAAGTCTGCTGACCAAGAAGGCGGAGGAGCGGCCGTCAGTCGAGGAGCTGCTCGCAGACCCATATGTGCAGGTCGGGTCGGCAACCATCAAGCCGACACACACACACACAACACGCACCCATGTCTCCCTCTTTTCTCTCAGTCGTTCATGCAAGAGTTCGCCGACACCAACGGCGCGTCTCTGACCGCACAGATACAGCCACAGTCCAAGATCTTCGCACGGATGCGGGGCCTCCCACACGCGCACAGCCGGGACAGCCCGCAGGCGAGAACCGTGCCGGCCGCGCACACCGACAGCAGCCAGCCGCCTGTAGCTGCAGCAGAGCCACCAGCAGCACCCCGCCCCTCCACTGCTCGCGACGATGGGCAACAGCAGCCGAGCAAGCCAATGGTCCGGGAGACACCCAGGTGCGCGCGCAAGATGGGACAAAGAGAATGAGGCACTTGTGTACCCACTCAAATGTTGTCTTCCGTCGTTACAGGGAAGCTGCGTTGCGCAGACGTCGCGAGCAGGCTGACAAGCACGCCGAGGCGCTCAAAGAGGCAGCACGAGTACAGGCCGCTGAGAAGCAAAAGTAGGCATGAGCACACCTACCTCATTAGCGAGACCACCGTCTTTTCTTTCTCATATGTATGTGTCCATCATTGTAGAGCGAAGGAGAGGGAGGCCGAGCAGTTTTATTCGAGCAGAGGGGCTGGGTGGTACCATTCTGTGCGGGACGGTGCAGGGGTGAGGGCGATGAATGTCCAGATTGACATGATGAGGCCGCCATCGCAGCCGGCGTCTGGGCAGGGGCAGGCCATGCAGATGCATGGATATCGTTTCTCGGAGATCCCCCAGCCGCCTGAAGCCCCTAACAGACGCAGGTAAAGCCTCATTCCGTCCCCTCTCACCTCGGCAGAGACACGAGCCCTCTCTTTGTGCTGCAGCCCGTCCCAGCCTCGTCGAAGCGAGCAGAGTGTCGTCAGCACTACTGCCGATCGCATCACGTCCTCTGCTCCGCCAGGAGACCTCCAGTACTTCCCCAGCCCCCCGCTGCCCAGCGCATCCCACCACCCCCATCAGCAGCCCAGCAATCAGCCTACCACGCCCCACGGACAGAGAAAGTGGGGCCAGAGGAATGACAAGTTTGACTCGTATGCGCCACCGACGGTCGACACACTGCGCGAGGGCGAGATGGAGCTGCCGCCTCCACAGCTGCAGCACTACGATACCGAAGATTGGTGTGATGAGAGTGCCGATTGGGATGGCGACACCAACAGAGAGCATAGTGGTGTGGGTGTGGGTGTGGGTGTGGGCGCTGGGATGGGCAGTGGGAGTGAGCAGGAGGAGTACGATGACGACTTTGAGTGCGAAGAGGAGGAGGACGCCGTTTGTGAGGAGGAATACATCAACAATGAAACTGCAGAGGAGAACGCCGACAGAGACGAGCAGGTGAGCGGACAGACCACAGCCAACAAATCCCAACCCCCGTAACACACACGTGCACTCTGTCTCTTCTCTCTGTTCTCTGTCTTTTCAGGAGCTGTCGCTGGTGGTCGACAACTACAAGCGAAGCCTAGTGGACAGCGGCTCCTTCCCCGCCATGCACGCCACCCGCCCCACCTCCACCTCCCGCCCCAGCTCCGCACACCGCAAGCTCCGCCCGCCATCGTCGTCAGGCGCACGCACCACCAACACCGGCACTGGCTCGGCCAGGACCACACCCACATCACCTGACAGCGCCTCGCCGCCCTTCGCCCCTGTCAGCCCGTCAAGTGGGCATTCGTCGAGTCAGCAGGAGCTGCCGATCGCTATGACGATGGCGCGTGGTGAGCTGCTGAACAAGGCTAAAGAGGAGTTGCGGGGCAGGATGGGCGGGGAGACGTTTGATAAGGGGTTCGCGCTGCTGATCGAGGTGAATAATCCTGAGCCCAGGAGAGGCTATGTGTCCTTGCTGGTGTCATTTCTGTAATGGTGTGCTTTTTGTTGGCGTGTAGATGCGCCGTGATGCCAAGATAAGTGATCACGACTTGCAGAAGCGGCTGCTGGACACCATAGGAAGGGACCACTTCAAGAGGTCGGTCAGATGCGGGGACAGTCTCGCACCGGCCCCCTCATACACTGTCCCTTTCTGTCTGTCTGTCTGTCTGCCTGTCTGTCGCAGATACGGGATGGAGTTAGACCAGCTGGTGTTCAAGACGTTGCTAGGGTGACGAAATGATAGACGCGGAAAGGAAAGAATGATGATAGATGGGAGAAGAGGGAGGGAGGGAGGAAGACACATGTTGCTGTGCAGTGCATTTGGAAGGAGGCTCGCTGAGTGGCGAACAGTGGATGGTATGTGTGGGCTTGTGCTGCGCTGGTCGCTCTTCTTTGCTTGCGTGCATCGCAGTTTTGACACCCGCAAAGAGACACAGACAGGGGGGATGGAGGGCAGCTGCTTGGACAGAGATAGATGGAGGGCCAGCCACTGGGCCATCGCATGGGGGCGGCGGCGTTTTTGTTTTGGAAGGAGGTCACAAAGTGTGGGCGGGAGGATCGATCACTTACCCCGTGTTTGAGCAGACCCATTTCATCAATTCGATCGTCGCCCGAGAGTTGCTGCTTGACCATTTGCCGAGTGGAGTCGCCTATTATTTCCATGATCGGTGGATGAATGGACAATCCTAAAAGGAGTGAGTGAATGCAGTAAGTATGTGAGTGGTACGTTGGATGGGAAGCCTGCATTCGCGTCACGGACTCAGGGAATGGTGACCGATGGGGTGGATGCAATGCATTGGAATGAACAGCGTCACCGAGCGATTGAGACACGCGCACATATGTACGCATCAATGATGTCTCACCGGTTTGCCGGCGCTGGTGCTGTCAGTCTATCCAGCACAGCACGCACCAGCTTCTGCAGCAGCTCCAATATGCCTTCGCTGGCAGCAGGAGGCGAATCTGGGGCGTCCAATACCGACACTGGCCGTGTCTTTGGTGCCTCAGCAGCTGTGGCGCTTGCCGCTTCTCTCAACCGCTCCTGCTTATTCTCGTCTCCTTTCAGGCCACACGAGTCATCCTTTGCTTTGTTCTTGCTCGTCTCTTTCTTGGGCTTCCCCTCTTTCTTCCTCTCCGGCTGTGCCGCCGCCTTCTGCTCATTGTTAGGTGTTGGCGGCCGCGATTGTGTGGGTATGGGTGTGCCGTCAGTGAGTGAGTAGGCCGGCCCACCGATCTGCTGCTCCGTCGTGGAGTCCCACCGCAGATTAGACGCCCGGTTATCGTCCACATTGCCATTCAGATGGACGAAGTTGAGAGACAGCATGTGGTGGGACTCGTACCTCCACAAGTGCTCCAGCTCCCTCTCGCGATGCACCAGGGCAACCAAGTTGGCGACGGGGACGCCTGTCTTGGCCTTCCGAAGGCACCAGGTCGTCTTTTTCATGCCCCACGTCGTATTTGTGTTCCCCAATGTTGTCTTCTGTGTGTATATTAAGGAGGCAATGGATGGACGAAGACTGGGTGTTTGTTGATTCGTCTGTCATTCGTTCATGCACTGACACAACGAATGCATGAACGCACGGACTCATGTACATTTGTCTGCGTGCTCAACAAGAGCCACCAATTGCATTGTCTGTCGTCTGCGATTCTGTCCTGTGCCACTTGACACACAAGCTCATTCATGCCTCGAAATGGTAATCCGCCTCCTGACAGAACAAAAGACGACCAGACACACGCACCAAAACAGACACATGCACCACACGTAACACATGGATGTGCATATCATCCCTCACCTTGCTGGCTCTGAACGCTTCGGCAGCCACTCTGGCCTCCTCGACGTTGCCATTGTAGTTCTTCGGGTTGAAGTAGGCGTACCGCTGCTGCGCGCCCTCGTACCACGTGACCACCCACCTCTTCCTCGCCTTCCCCCAGCTGACACCCGTCACCTCGCTGCGCGGCACGCCCTCCTTCGCCTTGCCCTTGCCGTTCCTGCGCGGCCCGTAGCCGGCCCACATCTCACGCGCTGCTTCTTCTGCCAGTGCCTGATAACCAAAAACGTCATTTGTCCCTCCTCCAATGCCTACCCATTACGTGTCTCTCGTCTTTCCACCTGTGCCTGTTCAGGTGGGAGGTGTCGTGTGATCTTGAACAGACGCCCTGGGATTTTGCCCCTCTGGTTGTTTGGTGGTTGTGCAAGCCAGGCGTTGTCGCGTTTGACGAACGACACTCCCGGTACGTCGGACTTGTACACACCTGATGAGATCACGGCCTTCCCCTTGGGCTTGCCGGTGCCCAGGGGGTGGGGCGTGGGGTTGGTGATGTACACGCGATGCTGTCCGCAGTGACGCATGGCCATGTCACGATCCGATCGCGGCGGCATGACTGAACACACAACACACACACACACGCCAACCGCCGTGGGGCTCTGATGATTGTCACCCGCGCCCCATTACCTATCTTGTCATCCTTGTGTTGCTCTTTCTTCAGCTCTTTCTCCAACATCTCGGGAACGTCGGCAAGTCGAACACGGTCCCTCTGTGGATTGACGCATCCAGGGATGTGCCATGTTGCGGGCCTTTGTTTTTCTGGAGTCATATTACCCTCAATCTCTGTGCGATGGTCCCTCCCTCCCTATCCGCCGCGCCGACCTGGCCCTCAGAGCTCACGCAATCACGACCCTCCTGCACACACAGACCCACACACACCACCCACACACCAACACAGATCACACCACCACCACCCCCTTCCCCCCCCCCCCACACACACAAAGGCTGTTGACGTGTGTGTTAGTGTGCTGTGGTGGTGTGTGGTCGCCTGATGGATCATTGTCTCACTGGTGCGTCAGCGTCTGTGTGTGGCTGCCGTGCAGTCGTCTGTGGTACCTGCTTTGGGCTGTCGACGCCCGTGTGTGTGTTGGACAGGTAGTAGCGGTTGTTGCCCTTCTTGACGATGAAGCATGCCGCCACCAACTCATCCAAACAATCTGACCACGGAAACATACACACGGAGGGAGAGAGGGATGTGTGTGAGTGTGTGTGAGTGTGTGTGAAGGTGTGTAGTGTGGGTGTGTGCCGTTGCGAACCGTCCATCTGTTGCTGTGTGTGGTTAGGGAATGCCTCCAACAGCTTCTTCTTGACTGCACTCACACACACGTCAAGTGAATGGCAATTGGTGGCTGGCTGTTTCCTGCCAGGCACCATCGGGGCTATGTGGTCGCTTCTTGCGGTTGCGGGGCTTCTGCGGCTGGTCGTCTGCGATCTCCTCCCCCGCCCCATTCATGTGGATGTCATCAGCGTCATGATCATCATCGCGGCTCGGGGCAGACGACGATGCCACGGCCAGTGTGGGGTGCTCTGCGAGGCGTGGGCTGCGGCGGGGCGGGGGAGGGGCGGATGCAGCTGTGTGCAATGTGGGCGGGTGGTTGAGCTCCACCGTCTGCGCATCCACCTCCATCGGGGCCGCACCAGCAGCATCATCATTCATGGTGGGTTGCTGTTGGGCTTCTCGCCACGCCGCAATGATGGCATCGAGATCTGGCGGAAACCTGTACCAGCGGCCTACCTCCTCAGTCATCTGAAAGTGCGATTACTCAGTCGAAACAAAGTCAAAACCGCCTCTCTGTAAATTGTCGTTCGCATCTCAGCTCGCAGAATGTCAGACCCAGAGCTGCCAGACCCTGAGGAAGGAGACCGCGGCATCTATGAAAGTGCCAACCTCCTCGTCCCGGATGCGCCGAGTCCGTTAGGAGATCTTCCTCACTCAGATGCGATTGAATCTCTTTTCGACGCCTCGCTGCGGCTGCCGGGGATGCTTATCCGCCTGCTCCAGCTATGCCCTCAGCCCCTTCGCACTGCGCTTGAGTCCCACATTCGCAAGCTGGCTGACGGGAAGCGTCTAGAGGCCTACCTGGGCGGCATGATCGCTCTCCTGCAGTGAGCATTGAACATGGAATCATCACCGACACACCAGCACTGTCATGAGCGTTGTCCATCTGTGCGTTTCCCGTTGTCTCAAGCGGTGGGGTCCGCCCACTCCTGCCAGTGGAGTGGCCGTTTGAGTTCAACACGACGCGTTGCATGTTCGAAGACACGCGGGTCAAGAACGAACCGGTCCACCCAACACTCGATGAGCAGGGGATTCTACCCGCCGGCATGTGGCCCACCCATAGGCTGGTACAGAGGCTGAGGCGACCCGCATACACATTGTCCATCAACCATGTCGCTTGCAGGACGCGATGACTCCGCGTGTGATCGAGTACGCCAACACGCTTGAGGCCACGGCAGGTGTCGCCGTGCAGTCGCAGTGGCAGCAGATCCTGGCTTATTACAAGGTCGAGGGCATTACCGATTGGGAAGCCCTCCTGCGAGACGCCTGCGCGTCTGAGGATGAGCTCCTGAGGCCGCGTAAGCCTGAAGGTCAGCATTGAGAGGGAAGGAATGCACAATCACGAATACACACAAACACACACGGCTGTGCATCACATGTGTGTGTGTGTGTCTCAGAGCGTATCTCCGCGCTCAACCGTCTGTGGACGCTGGGCGGCATTGCGGCGCTTATTGTGGCCATTGGTGACTTCCCTGTCGGCCTCGACCCCAAGAAGCTATCACCGTGGGTTCGACACCTGCTCTCGGGTCTCACATCATTGCCTGTGTCCAAGGACGACGTAGAAATGACGAGCGAGGTTAGTCACAGTCCGGGCGACACTGCCGCCCACATACCGCCGCGACGCCGTGTTGATTTGTGTATCTGATTGTAGGATGTCAAGGCTGCGATGATCGAGGGAACTTCCGCAAGCCTCACACCGAGGATCAAAAAGGCAGTCGCAAGTGGGGTCGTCCGTCGACATGGCGCATGGAATGCAAACAAAGTCCAGAAGGCTTTGGGTGTGTGTGTGTTGCTCACTTTAGGTGTGTGTGTGTTGAACCAGCTGGCGGAAGTAGGCACGCCAGCCCATCGTGAGGTGAGGTACAGACTGGAGAACACTGTGGCCCATTGGAATCTCGTTAGCGGCATGGCCGTCATCAAGCGCGGTCAGTAGTATAATTAAATCCCACCGTGTGTGGGTAACACTAGATCTTGTGTTGATCTTGTCCTCACACAGGTATGCAACTGCACGCCGGGGCTACGCTTTATCAGCTAGGCATCATCACTGAGGCGGCTGCCACCATCTGGACGACTCATCTGTCCTTCCGGCCAGAGGACAGGCTCAAGATGGACACGCCGGACGACCTGTGGGGAATGCCTGTCACGGACGCGTTAGCGACAGGTCGGTCACTGCGACTGGCAGCAAGAGTCTGCACACACAGAGAAGGGAAGGACACAGACAGAAGTCCATCCATCCATTGCCTCTGACTGTGTGCACGATATTGCTTCCCGATGGGCCGCCTGCAGGTCGTGTGTCACTCCTCGCAGACGAGAATTCAAGATGGCCGCGCCGTGGCGCACTCGCCATTGCCACCGTTGAGCAGGAGGGCGTTGCAAGGAGGGTTCACAAGTGGGACATCTTCGACGTAGTGTTTGCCAGTAAGCACCACACCGAGACAGAGGGCCAGCGGGGCATCAGCACATGCGCTCGGTCCGTTCCCTCTTCTGTCAGCTAAGGGCTTTCCCCCCGATGCCCTCAGGAATCTGCTCATACGTATGGCCCACACGCTCACACCGCGACTGGTGGTAAGACGGCAAGAACAGAGGCGACACGCGCAATGACACACGGGCAGATGTCGGGTCGTCTCTGCAGGTTTTCCACCTCGGCGATGGCGACGTCCATGGTCTCGATATCGGCCTGGGTCTCGCTGCGCGACTGAAGCCCCACAAGATCGAGGTCAACTGGCTCGCCGTGTCAGCTGAGCAGGTCAAACAGTGGAAAAAGAAGGTATGCCCAGGAAACAGTATCGCGCTTGCACAGCTGTGCTGGGTTCACGTCTGTGCTGTATGTGCACCCTGCCTCAGTTTGACTTGCAGGCGAAGAAATGCAGCGAGGCTGACATGGAGAAGACCGAGGCTCTGCTGCGTGGCCCCGTCATTGCGCACGAGGGGCGAGACGCCTATCAGACGTGGCTGCGGAAGAAGGAAACAAAGGTGACTGCACAAGACGTGCCGCATGCCTGAAGCAGCACCAATCTTCTATGCTGACTGTGCACACTCAGATGTGGCGTGACCTCCAGCACCAGATAAAGACCATCCGGGAGACGGGGCAACAGATGAAGCTCGATGTAAGAATGTCAGAGACTAACGGACGTCAACCGACATACAGACAGTGTGGTGATGTCATCAGATGGTGATCGATCGAGTGGATACAGCGGTGCTAAAAAAGGTGTTTGGAGACCTGGTGGAGAAGAGGCTAGGTGCAGACGTGGACATGACTTCATGACACAGGAGGGGAGATGTGTTGAACCCTCCCGCACTCGACTGCCCTTCTGGTCTTGAGAATGCCGTCAAGTCCCTCATGCGAGATGTCCACATAGCGAAAGCCGGATGGGTATTTCTTGGTGCCGAGAGAGGCTCGCTGACAGATACATGCACACAGACACACATACACAGACACACACACGGAGATAGAGACCGAGCGAAGATAGAGACCGAGCGAAGACAATACGAAAGTGAGAATACCTGCCCGCCCTGGCCGTTCAGCCATACAATGCGCCCATGTGAAGAGACCAGCAGCTTCGACTGGAGGTTGGGATATATCGAATTGAAGAGGCGGGAGGTTCTCGGGTCTTTCAGGATCTCCCCCTCCGCCAACTCCACCCCCGAGTAGGCAGTTTGGTGGTTCATAACGGACACGAAATCCCCACCTGAACCGCGTAGGCTGTCTCTGATGGTGGCGGCCGACAGACCCGTTCTTCTTGCCGCCTCCTCTTGGCTGGATACCTTCAGGTCTGGCTGGCCTTGTCGGCGGATCACCATCGGGAACCCTGCCGTCGTGCGTGGGGCCTTCTGCACTGATGGCTCTGCAGCTGACGAGAAGCTTCTGCAGTGGCTGTTTGTGTGGCCATGGTGCCCATGGCGAGGAGGGGAAGAAAGAAAGGAGGGAGCCTCAGGGGAGAGGAGGGCCTCGCAGCCCTCGCTGAAACTTGAAGCTCTTGTCAGCCGTCGGCCTGCCGCGGTAGCGTGCTTTGCTGTTCTCCAGAAAGCCATCTTTCTGCACTTGAAGAGGAAAATTGTTGAAGTTGCTGCGTGCCGAACACACACCGTGGTCAGAAGGATCAATCTCTGCCGTACAAGCCTTTACGCAAGGCACGCAACGCACGAGTCCATCATGGGCATGGCCAGCCCGCCAAGCAAGACACGCACGAGAGCTGCCAACGCTCACCGAAGATGCACGAAATAGAAAGACATGTCTGCAAGCTAAGCACAAACCCTGCTATCAAAACCCAACACCCCTTCTCACCTCACGGCGAAGCTGAGAGG